CCAGAGTTTGAAAGGTATGTTGTTCTTCTGTTAGGAAAGAGTTAACTCCAGGAAGAGGCTGTGGTGTCTATGTTCTCCAAAGCACTTAGCACAGGACCCAGGTTTGCTCTGTAGCCTTGGAACAGGGTAGGGGCTCTCTTCTGGCCTAGCTCTCTCCCACACTTTGCCTTCAGCTCCTTGAGAGCTGGGACTCTAAGGGTCATCCCACATTTCCTGTGACACTTTGCCTACTCATTGCCTCAGGCATAGGAAGGGCCCTTGGTGTTGGATTGTTTTCTCTTCCCCTGGCTTCAGTCCAGGTTTGCTCGGCACCCAGCTCTGAACAGAAAGGGCTGCAGAGATGAGTAAGATAAGCCAGGCTCCTGACTGGCCCAGTTTCCAGGTCTCATTAGTAACTGACACCAAGTTTGTGGGGATCACATAGATTGGGATGGCAGGTGGGGAGAAAGGAAGGAGCTTTTCTTTGGCTGGGCCTCAACTGCTGGTGGAGTGTCCTGGACAGCCTTGCCCATCCGGACACAGTATGCAGAAATAGGTATATCCATGCCACCCTGTAGGCCACACAAAGCCCACTTTCTATCTGCTCAGTTAACCCTGCTACATGAGGGGTTTTGAGGGGCCTTGGCAGGTTATGCCTGTGTGTGCTGGGTGGCTTATTCACTGATACACACAAAGGTTTTTGTCTGTGGGCTGACCCATCCTGGGATGTGGGTCTGCTGTGTCCCTGTCCCAGCAGGTGGAGCCCTTTAGGTCTGAGAAGGGCCTTCTGGGGGCAGTAGTGTGGGTTTGGGAAGGTAATACCCCTAGGAGATAAGACCTCTGACACTGCTCTGTCACCCCCACATAACCTCTTGAGAGACAAATAGCCTTGTTTTCCATATGGGTGCCAGTGATCCTGCCCATGTCTCTAAAGCATTCGAAGCCAGGATTTGAACCCTGGAAATCCTGTTGCAAATGCAGGTCTTCAGCACCTCCTCCCCCAACAGTCTCATTCTGAAGTGGAGATAGCAGAACCAGCATTTGACTCCAGTAGCCCACAGAAGAATGACTTCAGATGCCAGTGACTGCTGAGTGGGTGTGGGCAGCCACCTGGTCTGGCTGGCACCATGAGCTCATACCCTGCCCTGTCTCTAAGAGCAGTGGCAGTTCCAGCCCCTGTGAAGGGGAGCCCCCGGCCCCCAGCCAATAGTACCCTGGGCCTGCTCTGTGTGAACACTGTCTCGCTGTTTTGTTTCTTGACTTTCCTTTTTTTTTTTATCTCAGTTCTGGTCTTTTTAGTTTCAAATTTTTAGTCATTCCATTTCCTCCTCTGTTAATTTGCTATATTCTCCTTTATCTTTCTTTTAATAGTTAACATAGGGATGACAATATACATCCTTAAAAGCCTGAAAAGTAATAGTACTTTTACCATTTTCCATATAGTGCTAGGCCTCAGAATATTTAGACGCTGTTTGCTGTTCTTTCTGCCTTTTGTGCTGTTGTTTCTATATGTTAAATCCTGCAAATGTTTATTATGATTTTATACAGTCAGTATCCATTTAGATTTACCTACATAATTCCCCTCTCTGATGTTTTTCATTTCTTCCTGTAGGTCCTAGCTTAATTCCTTCAGCCCAGAGTATCCCTTAGTATTTCTGGACTAACAGATCCTCTGATGACTAATACTTGTAACTTTTCTAGAGAAGTCTTTCTCTTGAAGGCTTTTTAACTAGTTTTAGAATTCTGTCATGGCATTTTCTTTCCAGACTTCTAGATGTAGATCCGTTGTCTTAAGGTTTCCATACTTTAGGTTCAGAAGTCAGCTGTCAGTTTAATTTTGTCTTTGGACATTGGGTATCTTTGTTTCTCTTTCTTGGTTTTTAGTAGTTTAGCAGTGATTTGCCTCCGAATGCTTTTTCTTTGGGGTGCATGGTTTTCTTTATGGTTTGGTGATTAATTCTTTCATTAATCCTACACAATTTTTTCATTAATTCCGTAAACTTCTCGGTCATATCTCTGAACGTTACTTCTGGTGCTCTAGAAATGTGTAGATCTTTTGTCATATTTCATATATCTCATGTTTTTTCTCTATTTTCCAACTTTATTCCTCTGTGCTTCAGTCTGGATATTTTCTGGCATATCTTGAAGTTCTCTATTCTTTGTTTAGTTGTATCCAAACTGCTATTAAGCCCTTTTTTTAATTCAAATTTTTTGTTACAGTTTTCAGTTATAGATTTTTCATTTGATTAATTTTTAGTTTCCAGAAGGTGGTTTTTTATTTCCCCCATAGATTTCATTAAATTGTGGATATTGTGTACAAAAAAGTCTAGGAATGATTTTAGGTTCTGGGTAATTTACTTTTCTCCAGAGAGGATATTTTCTACCTTCTGACAGGGGAAGGTACCCTGCCCCCCTTTTAGGACAAATAGAGAAACATCCTCTCACCAACACCAACCCTGTCTGCCAAAGGGCAGGTGTCACCAACTGTGTGGCACACAGCTATTTCAGCCTTTGGGAAGGGTGGTCTGTTTCAGTTTCACCCTGCTCTTAGGGTGGATGTGTCGGGGTTCCTTGGCTACCCTAAAAGCATTTTTTTTCTCTTCATCCCCATGAGATTATAGGAAACTCAGCCTTTCATTCACTGCTTATAAATTGACAGATGGTTCAAGGGGAAAGAGGTGCGGACATCAGGCCCATGTTGCTGCACTTCCCTTATCTCTGGGTTTGCAGCCCTTGAAATCTTTGTTGTCTTGGTGCTTCTCCAAGGCTAATAAGCAGATGTTTCAAATATATCTGTTGTAAGATTTGTTGAATTGCTGTGGAAGGGTTTAAATCTTGGGCCTGTTTTAGAAAGACCAGATCGCTGAGCAGAACCCAGTACTTCTTTCCCAGAGATTTCTGCCCTTTGGCAGGAAGGCAGGGACAGTTAATTGGACTTTACGAATGGAAGACTCTTGATTGCCTCTCAAAGAATGAGTCAGGAGACGTCTTGAACCCAGCTTGATCTAGCTGATCGTACCCAGTATAGCCTCCATTTGACAGATGTGGCAACTGAGGCCCAGGATGGGGCTGTCCCACAGAAATGGGGATGCAGGTGTCCTTGACAGCTTAACCAGTACTCAGCTCTAGGGGCGGAGGCGGGTGTTGAGCAGCAGGCTGCCTCTCCTGCTCTGGCCTCCATGTTTGTGCTGCTGGGTCCTTCCTCCCCACTTCCAGCTAATCTTCTGAAGCCATGGGCAGCAGAGTGGGGCTAGAGGCCTGGGTACTTGTCACTGCTGGACTTTTCTGCTACTGATTTCTCACAGAACCTTGGAACCAGTTTTTCTTTTTTTTTTTTTTTCTTAGTAATCCCTGCAGTTTTCTTCCCACACCCAGTTAGTTTCTCTTCCTCTTTTCTCCCCACCCTGTTTTGGACAAAAGTCATTGCACCAAATCATGCCCCACTTTCTCAGTGCCTCAGTGACCTGATGTTTACCCCTATGCCTGAGGCAGGGTGGGGCATCCCTGCTCCTTGGAAGAAGCAGACATTAGGAGTATTATGTGGGGTGGACTTTGTCCATACAGGGCCATTGTCTCCTCTCACTCTCTGCACAGAGGTTCAGTGCAGCCCCAGGCCCTGAGCCCCTTGGACCTTCTGCATCTCCCACGTAGAGATCCAAGTTCAGAGTATTGTCACTTGCTTGCTAGTGTGGCTGTGTGGCATTAGCCATCAGCTACCTCGCCTCTGGCTTTGGAAAAGTTTGCCTTCCCTCCCGGGGTTGAGAGAGGCACCCTTGCCTGACCCAGACAGAAGGCTTATAGGGGATGAACTATGGGAGGCCTCCTTTGAGAAATGGTTTCCTTCCCAGGACCTTCTGAAGGGCCAGTGGTCAAGGACCTAAGAGAGGTAAAGAGGGTGGGGTGCTACTTCTGCACCTCCCAGGAACTAGAGGTATGTCCAGGTTTTTTCTTGCTTTATGAATCCCAGCAGCGCCAGGAGCACTTAGCTTACTGTCCTGCAGAATAATCAAGGGCCCCCCTTCAGTCTGTGCATGTGTGTTTGGGGTTTGATGAGCCAGAGAGGCCCCCAGTGAACTCCTGGAACAACCCACCCTCTTTGAGGAGACTGAGACGAGGACAAAAAATGACAGTGCTGGCCGTAACTCCCTCTGTGATTCTGGCCTAGGGTGTCCTCCTCCTCACAAGACTTGTGGCCTGTCCAGGGAGCATTCTCAGGTCTCAGGACTGTCCAGGCAGATTGTAGCTTGCCCAGTGTTGCATGTGCTCACACCTGTTCCCACAGCCTTCACAAGCCATTCCCCACATTGTAGAGGGAGGGGTCAGCCTCTTGTGTATTTTGTGCCTTTGCCCTGTCCACCATAGCCTCAGGCCTAGATGTCACCTCCTCCTAGAATCCTTACACATTCACACTCCTCTGGAAATGCGGCTTGCACTTGTCACTCACTGCCATGTGCCTTTGGCCCAGCGCACCCAGACCCTGTCTAGTAATGATGAAGGACTATGTGACTTTGGCCCAGGACACAAAGGCTCTGAAGAGGGGGCCAGGCTTGGGGGTACTACTCTTTTAGGAGTAACTTAGCTCCAGAGCTCTGGCTGGAAGTCATGCTTAGCCTTGGTCTCAAGGTCTCATAGTGCTATCTCTGTTATGTGATCTCATGATAGTGATAGTCTCTGCTTCTCGGTTCCCTTAACTGTCAAATGAGATAATGCCAGAGACAAAGCCAGTGACTGCTCACCAACATCCTGGCCCAGCTCTGGAGAACACTCCTCCTACAGGCAGGCAGGGCCTTTGCAGAGAAGCCAGTCCAGCTGCTGAGTGGCACATGAGGGGCTGAGGGACCTGCCCCAATGATGATTCAATCCTGTGATTTCCCTCTTCACCCCGCCATCTCTAGGGATCATAGGAAATCCAGGAAGTAGACAGCCTACATGGATCTGTCACATTTTGACTTGCAAGTCGTGTGAGGTCAATGAGGCTGTCTCACACTTGTCTCAGCTGCTTTTTCTCTCTACTCTTGTAGGGAGCTCAGGCTGCGGAATTATGTCCCAGAGGATGAGGACCTGAAGAGGAGGAGGGTGCCCCAGGCCAAACCAGTGGCAGGTAGGTGAGCGTCCTCTCTCCAGCTCTGCACTGTGACACTGTCCTTAGCAGGTGTTGCCCTCCTTTAAAGGATAATAGGCAGTGCCAGGCAGGAGTTGGGTCTCCAGAGTCCTCTGTTGCCTGCTAGGGACCTGTGGGAGGGCCCAGAGGGGTTGCAGACTCTTGGGACTCCTGGGATGAGAAGTAGAAGTGACCCTGGGTGCTTGGATGTAGCAGGCAGGTGATGAGTCCTGTGAACCCTGAGGAGGGGCCAACCATCAGACATCCTAGCAGCAGGCCAGCAACTCAGAGGATGGGAACAGCCCAGCACAGCAACCAGGAGCTTCTGGTCATCCACATGCACATGCCACAGAGTGCCAGTCCTGCCTTGGAGTCGGATTTTATTCTTTTTTTTTTTTTTTTTTTTTGTTATCAACTTTTAATTGTACAAGTAATGAATTAATAGATATAGTTATAAAAAGGTCAAGTATTTCCCATTCATTCACTCCAAGTCTGCTTCCCTCCCTACCTCCCTGAGCTCTAGACTCTTCCCAGGAGTTTTGCTCCGTGATTTGGGGCCCCACATGTTGGGGCAGTGGCAGGGTCAGGGCAGGGAGCCAAAAGGCAGAACAGAAGAAAGCACAAGGAACTGACTCCATGCCTCAGGATCAGGAGGCCACTTCAGACTCCTATCAGTGGCTGGAGGATGATGAGGCAGAAGAGCAGAGAGGCCGTTTATGGGGCTTCTGATGATGGGGCTGGAGGCAGCCTACAGAGCCCATTGTTGTTAGTATGCTGACTTCTGTTCCCAGAGGGGACCATCCAGGGCCTACTTTGCTAGCAGCAGCTTGGTGGAGCCAGGGGTGTTTGTCAGCACACATATGAGACGGAATGGGAAGAAAAGCCACCCGTGGCTCTGGCCAGGCCAAGATCCAGAGGACACCCTCAGAATCCAGGAGCCCCGGGGTTATGGGGAAAGCAGGACCCTTCACAAAAACATACTTTCTACATATCCATGCAGTCTGCCCACTCACAGTGGAGAGACTGAAGTCAAGATTAGCATCTGTGCTTCCTGATTGGAGATCTAGACCCTGATAATTCTAGCCAGCAGCCTCCTGCCTGCCCTTTCTCACCCCATGGTGATTGGCCTCATCCTGGCAAGTCCAGGCCACCCCTCCAGAGCTGCCTTTACAGGGGCTTTACCTCTGGAGTGTTGGGGGCTCAGGGGAGAGGGGGGAGCAAGAAGCCTTTGTCTCCTCTGATGTGTCCAGGCATCATGCTTGGTGACAGCGCCACTCCAACAGTCTCATCTTGTTGTCTTGCACCCTCTAGTGGAAGAGAAGGTGAAGGAGCAGCTGGAGGCTGCCAAGCCAGAGCCCGTCATTGAAGAAGTGGTGGGTGCCTGAAACCTTGCTCCTGTGTCCCACTTTCCTTCCATCTGTCCCCCTTCTTCCTCTTCATTTCTTTTTTCCCTTTCTACAACCCAACTCTCCTTGTCCCCACTACTTCCTCCTTTCCTTTTTCCCATTTCTCTAACTCTAGATCCCATCTTCCCTCTTCCCCTGAGATTGCGTGAGCCTCCAACCCTGATGAGTGTTTCCTCCCTCCCCAGGACCTGGCCAATCTGGCACCCCGGAAGCCTGACTGGTGAGTGTTGTTCATACAGCCTGGTACAGACCCACTGTGAGACCTTGGTGCCGAGCCTTGTCCTTGGGCTGAGCCCTGCCTACCCTCCCAACAGGGGGCAGACAGTGCAGACACAACCACGAAAGATAATTAGTGGGAAATAAGTACTGAGAAGCAAGAATGATGGGAAAGATCATTAAATTAAAGAGGGTCTTAGGTAGGAGAACAGAAGTCCCCTCAGGAAGCTGTTCTGAATGGATAAGGGCCCACCCTGCTCCAAAAGGTGCCATTTGAGCAAGGCCAATCTTCCCATTCAGGAGACTACCGGGTAGAGGGGATGGAAAGAAGAGCAGACACATGTGTCTTATCCCTGTTTCCCTCTGGCCCTACTTTCCTCATCTGTGAAATGGGATGGAGTGCAAGAGAGCTGGCTGAGTTCGGGTGAGGAGTCAGTCACCTGCTGCTAGGGGAGGAGCAGGGCCCACAGCAGCCAGAGCAAGTCACTTCTTGATGGCAACCACAGGACCTAGAGGATCCCTAAGGAAACATCCACCCCTGGCTCCATCCCATGTCACTAGTCCCCCCACGTCAGTGGGACAGAGAATGATGAGTAAATGAGTTTCAAAGGCACAGGGAGGAATAGAAGGGAACATCTTGGTCTGCTCTCCAGGGAAGTCCCCTCAGGCAACTGAGTGTGATTCCTTATGCCAGAGAGCTGCAGGAGGGGTGAGGGCCCAGAGCCACACCAGCCTGTCATCAGCCTCCCTGCTTTCTCACCTCCTGTACCAGGGACCTCAAGAGAGACGTGGCCAAGAAGCTAGAAAAGCTTGAAAAGCGTACCCAGAGGGCCATCGCCGAGCTGATCCGTAAGTGCAGCCCTGGCAGGCTGGGTCCTACCCTCTGGGTGGCAGCCCAAGCACAGGAGCCTTTACGCTTGCCTATCTTTCCTTCCTCCAGGTGAGAGGCTGAAAGGCCAGGAGGACAACCTGGCTTCTGCAGTGGATGCCACCACTGAACAAGAGGCCTGTGATTCTGACTGAAGTGTGCCTCGTACCCCATCTGCCCACCAGGTGTCCTGTAGGTGGATGCTCTTGGGCAGGGGTGGGGGCTGGGTTACCATCACATCCAGGTCTTCCTCAGAACTGATCAGCCCCATCGAGTCCAAACCTCCATGGGATGTCGCCAGCTCCTTGTCTCCTGAGGGTTCCTACCACTGGAATAGGACAGAGCCAGCAACTGCTGTGGGACGTGCCTGTGTTTGTACATATGTATGTATTCCAAACTTTTAGAAAATGTCTGTAAATAGAGACAAGTAAACCCCTTTATATGGTAGAAACCTGTCAAATGTTTCTTGGGTCCTGTGGTACTGTAGGTTTGGGCTCTAATACATGGTGGCCTCAGAGGTGGCACTTGATATGAATTACCCCTGTGTCCAGCTGGGCTTATGGAGAGGGCTACGTGAGAAAGACCTGGGATTGACCTTGTGGGTCCAAGGCCTGGCCCAGGCTATGGTCAGTGGTGTCTTCTTAAAACCCCTGGATGACAGAGACAGGGTCTGAGAGTTCTTCTAAGACTTCCCAAGGCCGAGGCCTTGCAATAGTTTGCAATATGGCTGGAGAGGCTCCCTCCCTAATTTCTATAGGTCCCTTCAAAGTGTGAGAAAGAGAAGGATGAGATTGAGCCCTATAAATTTCCATGCAGGGCCACTCCATGTTTAAGGCCCGGCACTAATTTCCCTTACTCTGCCCAGCCCTCAGCAGCTTCTCTCCCTGCTCTAACAAAGTTAAACCATGGCTCTCCCTAGGACAGGGCCCTATATGAGTGAGAAGGTCCATTCTTCTAGGGACTGTGATGTGGTAGGCTGGGTTCAGGTGTGATCTTGGGCCCTGAGGTCTTGGCTTGAGGGCTGTTGCCATTGCTGGGAGCTCTTAGTTAGAACTGCCTGGCCGCATCAGTTCAGACTCCAGGTACCAGTGGCCAACTGAAACTACCTCGCCTCTAGGGTTGTTGCACCCTTGAGTTTCCTAAGAGCTTCCCCTTGAGCCTCCTGTTCCTGCTCTAAATCATCTAGTGTGGCTTCTTCTCTTTATGCTGCATTCCAGATACACAGTGGCCCAGCTCTGGCAGACAGTGCTGAGGACTTGGGTCATGGAGGTAGGGTGTGTGTGTAAACACACAGACCAGCACACCCATACATTAAGTAAAATCCTTTAAATTAAAATTGTGCTTCTACTCTCAGAAGGTAATTCCTGTGTAGAAGAAAATAAAAATGTGCAGCTATGAGCAAGGGCTGAAGGGGTAGGTGGCCCGTTCCTTCACTGAGCAGTGCGACAAGACCAAAGCCAGGACTCTGATTCCCACAAGTTACAGGGATGAAACATGCCTGTAGTTGTCAGGATTGGATCTGGCCTTTCTTTCCTAAGAAAAAGGGTGACAAGACTCCCCATACCTCCTGGGATTGCATTTGGAAACAGGATGCTTGTCTATGGCAGTGGAAGGACTCAGACATCTGGTGGCTAGGAACTGAGCTCCCACTCAGCACCAGTTCTGAAATAGGAGTTGGGTCATTCCACAACATAAGAACCCAGAGAGCTGATGAACAGGATGCTTCTGAGTTTTTGACTCTAGGTTCCCTGACAGAAAAACTACCCTTATATAAGGAAAGAAAAACAAAACCTGCCATGCATGACAAACATTCAACAAAAATAGCCAGGCTCAGTAGCACATCTGTAATCCCAGCAGCTTGGGAGGCTGAAACAGGAGGATCACAAATTCAAGACCAGCCTCAGCTACTTAGTGAGACTCCTCAAAATAAAAAATGAAAAGTGAAGGGGATACTCAGTGGTAGGGAGAGTGTCCCTGGGTTTAATCTCCATTGCTGAAGAAAAAAATTTTAAAAGAAAGAAAGTAAAAGACAAAACACATGAGACAATGCAGTGCCTTAAAGAATAGTCAACAACCCCAAAAGTGGGAGGATTTATATCCCAGGAAATGGATAAAATTTATATCCTAAAAGCATTTGCTGTATCAACAGAGAGATAAAGGAGGACCCCAGTAAGTCAAGAACAGGCATTAAATGTAACTGACTAGAAATCTTGGAAATGAAGAAAGTGGATATTAAAATAAGAATCCAGGCTAGGTGTGGTGGCATGTGCCTGTGATCTATGCTACTTGGTGGACTGAAGCAGGAGGATCACAAGTTGGAGGCTAGCCTGGGGAACTTAGTGAGACCTTGTCTCAAAATAAAAAATAAGAAGGTCTGGGGATGTAGCTCCCTGGTAGAGCACCCCTCAGTTTAATATCCATTATTATAAAAATTAATAATAAAGTGAACTTCCTAGGAGAACTAAATTGTAACTTGTAGTCAAAAAAGCGATTAATAAATTGGAAGGTAAAGCTAAGGAGATAGATTGAAGGTAACAATGGGAAGTAAAGAGGTAACATGGAGGCAGATTGAGAGCCTTGCTATACTGATGGATGTTTTGTAGCCGACAGAGGTTTCAGGAAAAGAAAATCAGAAAAAGAAGGTAGTTAAAGGAGCAGTGGCCAACCACATCTGCTTCTAGTATCATGGATTTGGAGTTTTCCAGAATGCAGCCCAGCAAGATAAAAAGATCAGTAATATGAAACAAGAGGCTGAGAATAAAGTGAGAAGATCCAGCATAACATGGGATTGGAGTTCAGAGAGAAGAAACCCACAAAAGTGGGGCAGAGACAAAATTGGAAACAACGAGTGAGAACTTTCTAAAGCCTTTGAAAAGTACTAATCCACAGATTCCAGAAGACCAACAAATCTCAAGCAGGACAATAAAAAGAAACAAAACTATATTCACATGTTCTTGATTTGAACGGTGATTAATCAGGTATTTTTACTTTATGAATATTCATTGTGTTTACTTGTATATTTATTCTAACTCAGCAAATTTACTTAAAAATTTTTGCACCTGTATTAATCATCAATTGCTACATACAGATTACTGCAAAATTCAGTGTCTTAAAATAAATATTTACTCCCACAGTAGTGGCCTTGCTGAGCAGTTCTAGCTTGGGGTCTCTTATGTGGTCTTGGTCGTCTGAACGCTTGACTGGTGCTAGAGGTTGTGCTTCCCTAGCAGCCTACTCACATGGCTTTGGACTGGTGGCCTCAATTTCCTGCCACATGGGCCTCTCCAGAGGGTTTGCTGAGTGTTCTTTTGACACCACAGCTGACTTTCCCAGAGTAGAGATCAAGGGAGAAAACAGAAGGGAGCTTTGGAGCCTCACTATGACCCATATTAGAAGTGAATTCAGCTACATCCTATTTGTTAGAAGTAAGTCACTATGTCCAACCCATACTTGAAGTGAGAATTAAGTCTCTGTCTCCCTTCCTCCCCCCCCCCCTCTCTTTTTTTCCAGCAGTGCTGAGGATGGAACCCAGGGGACTTGGTGCATGCTCTGTACATACTCTTCTACTGAGCCACACCCCAGCTCTGGTTCCCACCTCTTGAAGGGAGGACAGTCTAACTATTTGACATATTTTAAACTACCATATCTGTAGTTTCATCATAATAAAATTGTAGAACAAAAAAAACAAAAATAGATCTTAAAATCAAAGAGCACAGATGTGTCTTTCAAGCCAGTGTTCAGCTACAACCAGTATTCACGCTCATGACACTTCCTGTTAACAAAAATGAAAGAAGATCACCAACCATACCCAGAGAAGTGTCTTACAAGATGCATTTAGACAGACAAAGCCAAGGATTGTGTCACCAGCAGACTCTTCACTAACAAAATCTACTTTAGGATAATGAAAATGTTCTAAAAGTGTGATAATGGTTGCATAAATCTCTGAATATGCTAGAACCTGTTGAATTACACACTTTAAGCGAGTGAATTGTATGGTTTGAGTATTATCAAACCTTTTTTTTTTTTTTTAAATGAAACAAGTAAGCTTTCTCCTTTAAAAACAACAACAACAAAATTCTTAAGGATGTCTTCAGGCTGAAAGGATAGATAGCAGTCACAGACGGACAGTCTAAAATATGAGAAGGAATGAAGGAAAAGAAAGTAGAAATTTAAATAGGCATTGATCTTATAAATAAAAATACGTTGTGATGATCATATGTAAGTCCAGAGGGGAGGTGATTGGGGCTGCAGCCTCTAGGAAGCTTACACAGGAGGGCTAGAATTGCAGCTTAGTCGTTGGAGTACTTGCCTGGCATGAGCTAGGCCCTGGATTCCATTCCCAGCACGGCAAAAAAAAAAAAAAAAAAAAAAAAGGCTCATGCAGGAGGAGGGATAAGACTCTGATACACAAGTAGATTAACATTTTTAAGGTAACCTAAAAGGAACAGAGTGGATTACTTTAGGCTTTGTTTTTTTGTTTTTTTGGGGTTTTTTTTTAACAATAAAGTAGTTATCCAAAGGAAATCAAAGAGATAAAAGGTAGAATTAGGATGAGTAAATGAATCCAAAGATATTATAGTATTAATCATCAATCGCTACATACAGATTACTGCAAAATTCAGTGTCTTAAAATAAATATTTAGGGCTGGGATTTAGTGGCTTAGCAGTAGAGTGCTTGCCTAGCCCATGCGAGGCCCTGGGTTCGATCCTCAACACCACATAAAAATAAAATAAAGATATTGTGTCCAACTACAACTAAAAAATAAATATAAATAAATAAGTAAATATTTGCACCCACAGTAGTGGCCTTGCTGAGTAGTTAATGTAGTAGACCGCTTTTTAAAGCTCAGTTTGATACCATTCAGAAGAGAACCTAAACCTGAACAGCAAGATTGAAAGTAAAGGGACAGAGAAAACTCTATGAAGCACAGCATCCTCAAAAGAAAGCAGAGGTGGCCAGAGCCTTGTGAGGCAAGGGAGACTTTCAGACAAAAACGCTCTTAGCTACACTGGGGGTCTCACCCGCCTCGCAGGGCAATGTTAAATAGGATGTGACCACTTCGGAAGTGTTGAGCATGCGCAGACCAGGAGAGGACCAGGAACGCTTTTAGCATCGCTCATGTAGCACACACAAAATCAGAAACAGCATGTGGTCATAGATACTTGAGCTATAACCACGTGCAACAACGTGGGTAGATCTTGGAGGAGGCTAAACAGGCAAGAAATAGAAGGAGCCATTTGAGTGATGCTAACAAGAGTGAGACAATGCACTCTAAGGGTGCAGGCGTGGAAGGTGGAGTCCACAGAAGAGCAAAATGGTGGCTGCCAGCCTCTGGCCAAGTCAGCTCTGGAGAGGGCCCCTCTGAGGTGTTGATATGTTCTTTTTCTTGGGTTGAGTGATGGAAATTCATTTTTACTCTGTAAACACACTCATTTTCATATACTCTTATATACACTGTATATCGCATCCAGGTTTTTTGTTTTTGTTTTGTTTTGTTTTGTTTTAAGAGCAGTTTTACTACATTTGCTATTTGACTACAATGGTCTACAAGCTACAAGTAAAACCTCAAAAGGACAGATTATATACAAAGGAATGAGTTTTACTTCCCATCAGCAGTAGATACCAGAAGACAAAATCTTAAGTACTAAGGAAATCTAAATGTACTCAGTTATTATAAGAAGGGCAAAGATACTTACAGGCTTTGATACTGTTTATTCCACACTGATCTTTTATTTATTTATTCTTATATTTTATTATTTTTAGGTATACATGACAGTGGAATGTAATTTGACAAATTATATACATACATGTAGTATAATTTCCCATTCCTGTGGTTATATATGATGTGGAGTTAACATTGGTCATATATTCATACATGAACATAGGAAATTTTGTCTGATTCATTCTACTATCTTTCCTGTTCCCATCCCCTCTCCTTTTCCTTCATTCCCCTTTGTCTAATCCAATGGACTTGTATTCTTCCCTCCCACCCCTTATTGTGAGCATCTGTATATCAAAGAGAACAATTGAACTTTGGTTTTGGGGGATTGGCTTATTTCGCTTTGCATGATAGTCTTCAGTTCTATCCATTTACTGGCAAATGCCAAAATTTCCTTTTTGTGGCTGAGTAATATTCCATTCTGTATATATACCACATTTTCTTTATCCATTTGTCTATTGAAGGGTACCTAGGTTGGTTTCATAGCTTAGCTATTGTGAATTGAGTTTCCATAAACATTGATGTGGAAGTGTCACTACAGTATGCTGATTTTAAGTCCTTTGGGTATGTGCTGAGGAGTGAGATAACTGCGTCAAATGGTGGTTCCATTCCAGGTTTTCTGAGGAATCTCCAGAGTTGCTGTCCCTTCATCCATGTGTGAGTTCTGTCTAAAAGACTTTTTCTGGATATAGGCAAGATTATTGTTTATGAAGAAGCAGAGGATTTAATAGTTAAGCAGTTTTTTAACAGGAATAAAGCAGAAGGAATCACTCTGCCCATTTCAAGATTTATTATACAGCTGCAGTAGTCAAAACTGTAATATTGGTGGAAGGACAGGCAGACAGATCAATGCAACAGAATACCCAAGCCCAGCCAACTGAAATTTGGCAAACGTGCAAAACAAATTCAACAGGGGAGAGATAGTCTATTCAACAAATGGTGCTGGAGTAATTGCAATCGATGAGTAAAGCATAAATGCATAAACCTCTGGCCTTCAAAAAATAAAGTATAACAGATTTAAAAGT